TAAAGCGTTAATCACACAGAACCCATTAATGAAGCGATACTGAGTAGAACCCTCAGGATAGCCTATCGCGTTCACACCAGCAATCTCACAAGCTTGACGCAATTAGACCCTGAATTATAAAAAATTTCAGACTCTTGCCACCCTAGTTCAGCTGGAGTCCGATGCAGAAGTGTAACAAGCCAGTTCCAGCCAAGACCTTTGTTCTTGATGTTCGCCTTCATAGTTCGGTAAAAGATAGTACCCTCTTCCGTTCTCTCTGCTTTCAAAAGCATGATGTGGTGACAGTCAGAAAGAATGCCATAAACAAATTTACGTGTTGGTTGGATTCGAAGAACTCTGTCAGCAAATGATGCTAATTGCCCAACATCTGCATGTGAAAAGGCGGCTGACCTATATGGCTTAATCTCTATAACCAGACTGACATTGAGTGCATCGAGTGGCCAGTCCTTTGCAACTCCAACAAAGTCTGGTTTCCTTCTGTCAAGGATTGGCATTTTATAAGTATCGTGAATTGTGATGTTACTTGTCAAAGCAACGGAATGTCGTAAAAAATACTGTTGATAGTCCTCTTCACTATCCGAATCGGGTGGGTCATGAAAACGTCCTTTGTGGGCGCGTTCGGATATGCCGATCTGGCTGATCGATTGCGGAATCTCTGCCTCAAAGGGGAAGCTGATTATGTTATTCGAATCCTCCATAATATACATTCCACGATCTGTTTCGTTATCGGAAGTGAAGAATGTTGTATTTCCAGCAGACATCAACCTCATCCTCTCCACGTTATAATCTATATCCTCCAATTTCCGCTTCACCTCCCGCTTCATCTCGTTGACGACATTAAGCAACCCTTCTTGTCCTTCCCTTAAAGAATGTGAAATGTAAATATCATAATCAAAACCTTATTACATACGTCTATCTACCCTACGTACACACTACTCTATGTCCCCAACGCCCGAGTCACAAAGTCGTTACTCCACCCAGTTGACCAAGAGGTGTCTTCTGCTTGTCTTCGTATACTTTCTCAGTTATTAGTCCTTCTTCGAACAGTTCTTTCAACTGTTTGAGGCTCTGTTTGAGGCTCTGTTTGATGTCAGTCATTTTTCTTCGATGAAAGATGCTGTGCTGCGCGATGTGATAATGTCGATCAGTGGCTTAATCAATGGCGTATTACTAGGAACTTTCTAGATCTTTTCACAATTGTACACAGTGACTCTCTTTATAGTGGACCTCCGCTACAGTGGATTTGGCTTATTGTGGAGGAATGTTAGAAACTTTTT